GTAGCATTTAATGGGAGGGAAATGAGCTGCTAAACTAGATATTCCTACAAACATTGTAATGCTCCCTTCAATTGTAATTAATGAATACGGCAAAGTACAATATAAAATTACATTTGTATAGCGTCTTTCATGTTGGGAGAACGTCCCAAGCCTCTGGACAGTAAAGGATTTGGACCTGAATCTTTTTTAGGTTTCAGTTTGGCTTGGTTGTCAGGGCTCTTGTCTCTGATCAGAGTGTTGTGGGGGGTCATGTCAGGATCAAACTTCATGGTCAGCCAACAAAATATTTTTTTCTTGTTTGAATATTTCTTGATTTATGTCATAAATCACTGGTCTAGGCTGATACTTCAGCATTATTGGAGATGCCATGTATTGAATGAGTTGTTAAAACACATTGATGTTAGCCTGTTCTCAGATGGAATTTAAAGATCCCTCGACACTTTAAAACAAGAAGGGAGTTTCTGCCAGTGTTCTGGACAACCAAATTAATTGGTCCTCCAGATTAAAGAAAAATGGTCATTCAATCCATGACTGTTTGTGGGACACCAGCAATTAGCAGCCACGTTTTGCCCATAAAACACCCAGTCAATCCACTTTTACATTATATTCTGTAAAGTGCTTTGAGACGTCTCAATGACGTGATATCAAATGCAAGGATTATTATTATTATTATTAAATGTTCATTCACTTCATGGCTGTTGGCGGGAGTTTGCTCCCACAAACTGCTGCTGTGTTTGCCTACACAAGCACTCACTATACTTGACAGTAATTAATGCTTTCATTTTCGTTCTAATCCGTGCTTCACTAAAATCTACTGCGTTATAAATTTCACAGCTAGATTGACTGGATCTAGAAGTTTAACAAATTTGTCCTTTTCCAATATTTCAAGCTGGCATACTGCTTACCGCTTAGCTTATACATATATATATATATAATACCAATATATAGATATATATATAATATCACATATATATATGTCCTTGCAGCTATCCTCAATCTGCTACCCACTTAATCTTCCCAGGACTTATCTCACATTCATACAATTTGCTCCTCTGAAGTCTTGAGGCTCTATGTTTTTATTTTTGGTCTTTGCCTTTAGGTAGGATTGGTTTTATGATGCATAATCTTTGCACATTTACATCTTATTAATAATTTCTAGTGGACTCTTAAGTGCTAAATCTAAATTTGTCCTAGCACAAAGCTGCACATTATATATTAAGATGTAGTACTTGTTAAATCCAAATGCAAACTAATTGGTTATCTGACTCTTGCTAAAAGCATGTTTATATCCTCGGACCATCATAAGTGTGTTTCTGAAAGATGTAAGGATTATCATAAAAAAACGGCTTAAAGTCTGTCCATCTTTTCTGGTATCTTTCATTTTTTTTAAATTTGAGGTGGGCAATTTTTTATTTTGCAAAACTTTCCAGTTCTCCCTGGTAGGTCAACGATGGGAAAGAAATACCTAACAAAAAAAAACTTCAATGCATAACCCCAAATTTATAAATCAATATCGCCCAACTCAAATTCAAATAATTGAGGTCTTTGGGATCTGGAAAGGAAGCAACCACTTAAAGCATAGAAATTCACAGCACCGGTCTGAAGGCCACTTGGCCTTCTTTGTTGGTTCTCTGAAAGAGCAATCCATTTAGTCCACGTGTCTACCTTTTCACCTTATACCATTACTACTTTTTTAGATATCTAACTTGTTTCTCTTCATATGGATTCTGCCTCTATCACTATACTTGGCAGGATATCCAAGCAACTGTTGTGAAAAAAAATCCTGCTAATTTCCTCCCTTTGCTCTTTTGTTAATTATCATAAATTAATCCGCTCTAGTCACTGACTCACCAAACAGTGGAAATGACTTCTCCCTATTGACTCTTAAAACCCCTCATAATTTTATAGACCTCTATCAATACCACCTCAACCTCCTCTTTTCCAGTGTAAATGGGCTCAGCTCCTTCAGTCTCTTACCTGGAGGGATGCACTGATAGTGTCACTGGTAGTATGACGGTTTTAAATAAGGAAAGCTGTAAATCTTATCCCATTGTGTGCCGTTTTGGGAGCTGCACTATGGGAAAAAATATCAAAGCTTTAGAGAATGCAGCTATATTCACAAGGATGATGCTGGAGCTGAGAAGATTTAGCTATAGGAAAAGGCTGGAGAAGTTTGAAGCAGAGAAGATTAAAGGAAGACATGACAAAGGTGTTTAAGATAATCAAAGGATTTGAGAGACGAATGTAACAGGGAATGCGGCTGGCAATTGTTTTGAGTACAAGGGGTGAATTTAGGATTGTAATTTTGAGTGTGAAAGTGAAGTGTTGGGGGAAAAATTCTCCCAGAGGGTTACCGTAGAATTATGGAATTATTTACCAGGGGTGGATTTGGAGCAGAAGCAATTGGAGCATGTAAAAAGTAATCAAATATAGACACGGAGGAAGGTATTAAATGGTGCAGAGAAAGAGCATGGAATTGGGATTAGGATAGATTGCTTCATTGGAGGAACATGCACTGACACTAATACAATTGGTTGAATGGCCTCCTACTGTGGTATAACTTTCTATAACGGCCTGAGATTGAAGGGGGGTAAATTCAGAACAAATCTGCGGAAACACTACTTCAGTGAGTGAGTAGATTTATGGAACAGGTTCCCTGGGTAGACAGTGGAAGCAGAAAATGTTGTTTGTTTTAAGAACAAATTAGATAAATTTCTGCTAGAAAATAGTATCTCTGAATACAGTATATAGTTAGGGACAAAACATGTCAAGCGACTGCCAGGATGGTGGAAAGCGAACTAAATGGATCTTAGTCTTATTTTGCCTAACAAATTCTTATGTTCTTATGGTCTGGTACCAGTCGGGGATGTCTTCTTGAAAATTCTGAAGCTTGTGCAAATCTTAATTTTGTACTTCTGCTAATTGACATCTTTCCCCATTGGGGATGTAGTTTGCTTGGCTTTCTTATTCTTTTCCCATCTACCAAACTAGTTCCTGCTTCTGAGCCAAAGCCAAAGTAGATTGTTTATTAAATTTGAGCTAATGCCATTATATATAGCAAGTCGAATGGAATGTGTATAGCACTCTTTAGTAATAAATATGACCTGCTAGACCTAAGACTTGATAAAGAATGGATCTTTTGAAACAAATGGTAGTAGTCTGTATCTCATGTCTATAAGGCTATAGCCAGACTTTAAAAACGTCAGGCACTATACGTTTTGAAAAGCACAATTGTGTAAAATTTGGTACAATTGGTCAGTATGACTATAGCAATAACGAGCAGGTGCAGAGAATATAATCGTCACATTCACACGGTATTGTAGCAATGTGCTGTCCCTAAATGGGAAATGGTGCATTCAACACCACTTGAATATTGTTACTATTTAAAGGAAACATGGGGTCTTCCGTTTAACTTTGCTTGTATTCCCAAGTTATTCAAATTAATTAGCTACTGATTTCATTGTTTGGAACATTGCTAGCACAGATTAGCTGCCACAAGTTAATATTCATTTTCATTTTAATCAATTTTATATTGTAAAGCACTTTGAGACATTTATCTTACATGAAAGTTGCTATTTCAATGCAAGTTTATTATTTATACAGGACAACCCCTTTATGAGGTTTCTGGGTCCAAAACCTCACGCCGCGCATTATAAAGCAGCTCGATAACATAGCCAACATCCAGTTTGGCCAGTCGTCACTTCCTGCGTGAACAACAGCAGTCATCAGCACTTCCTGGGTATTGTGAAGCATGAACAACAACAACAATAAAATTAAGTTTATAGAGCACCTTTCACATCGGGAGGACTTCCCAAGGCCCTGAAAACAGCAGCAACTACATGCATTTATATAGTGCCCTTTACACGGGGCAGCGTTTCGGAGCACTTAACAGTGGTGGAGCCTGACGCCAGCCGGGGGTACGGGGGAGGTGACCTTAAGCACGGTTCAAGAAGAAGGTCTAAAAGGGAAGAAGAGGGTAAAATGGAGGGATTGTGGGGAGTGTTCCAAAGTTTCGGGGCATAGCGTGGCTGCTGATGGTGGAGCAGAGAGGACGAGGGACAAGCAGGAGGCCAGAACCAGCCCAGTGAAATCCAACGGTGGTGGAGTGGGAAAAAAACAGGTCAGAAAGGTAGGGAGGTTCCAGGTCGTGAAGGGATTTGTAGACGAATGAGAGGATCTTGCAATCGATCCGTATTGTGCTAGGGAGCCAGTGGAGCCTGATGAGGACTGATGTGATGGGAGTATGGAGTTTAATGTGGGTGAGAATAAGGGCAGCAGAATTCTGAATCAGTTGTACTTTGTGTGTAGTGGAGCTGGGGGACCAGTGAGGCGGGTGTTGGAATAATCAAGGTGGGAGGTAACGAAGCTGTGGATGAGGGTTTTGGCTGCGTTGGGGTGTGATGTTAGCGGTAATCTGAAGACCCTTTGTTATGTTCAATGAATGATCCTGCTTTTTTTTCCCCCTCTGTTAAGGTTGTATGAATGAGACTGTTATCATCTTGCCACTTTTCTATCTTCAAAGCCCCCTTCGACCAGCCAGACCTGTGTGGGGAGGGTAAATTGGCCCCGGCCTTCCCAAGGTTTAGCTTCACTCTTCTGCTTGCTCATTCACTTGGGAAACGCAAGCTAACTCTACATTTCTCCCACCCTCTATGCCCCACTGTCAGTGGCCAAGCCTTCAGTCACTATACCCTCACCCTTTGGAACTTTCTCCCTCAACTCTTCTGTCTTGACCAATCTCTATCTTGAAAAGCTGACTTTGACCAGGCTTGTGGTCACCTCCCTCAGTCCCCCTGCTTGGTGACTGTCACCATCTTTATAAAGCATTCCAAGACATTACTCTACATGTTGAGTGCTATGTAAATTCCAGTTGTTGTTAAGCCATGTATGTTGAAGGTATTGTTTGGAATTTGGTCACTTTTGTGTTATAAAACGTTAATGGTAAATGATTTCTCATAAATCTGTTCAAGAGCAAATGTTTTGTACCTTCATTTTCACAGATGGTCCAGCAGCTGAGAAATCCTCAGAAGAGAGAAAAAGAGATTCAGTTTCCTTGACACAAAACAGTCCAGAAGCAAAAGAAGAAAGGTGAGGAGCTTCTTACGATTCAGCTGAGAAAACATCAAAAGGAGGTGGTTTGGGTAATTCTCTCATAGGGAATCAGGGTACCATTGAATTTTTAAATACTCACATTCACCAAATCATTGCCAGACATCCTACATGGAGTAACTTGGGAAGCAGACAATCTCTTGGCAGCATCACAAAAACCTGCCTTTTGCTGCAAAATGTGCCTTCAGTTGTTAGATGCAACATCAACAGTCGCTGTGGGATGTTTAGATCCCACTGTCTGAGCTCAGAATGAGCCTCATTTACGCATGAAAAGATGAAAAACACATCCTGGGTGGCCTGGCAGTATAAGTAATGTACCTTTCAACCACAGACAGCAAGACTTTGATTTTTTTTGTCATTATTTTTCACTCACAACTGTAATCCTTGTTTCTGATTTTTTTTACAGAGTAGGACATTCATAATTGGTAACTGTGTATCTTGGTTAGGGGAGGGGGGATAAGGGGAGACAAAAAGCAGACACCCCTATATTTAATTAAGATTGGATTTCAAATCTCTTAAATTGGTACAGATTTGTAGCTTACATATGGAGCTTCCTTATCTATATGCTCCCTTTTGGTGCTGACATCCGCAGGCATGGAGTAAACTTCATGTAGATGACACATAAATCTACTTCTCCAGCTACAACTCCAGGTCCGCCGATGTTCTCCCTTCCTATCTGGCAGACATCAGGGCCTGGATGAGCAAAAACTTCCTCAATGTTGACAAGACAGAAGCCATACTCATTGGCTCCCTTCAAAGTCTTCTATCCTGGGCCTCTGACCTCTTCAACTTCCCAGGCCCATCCCTCATAATTATCAAACTAGTGCGCAACCGAGGCTTCAGGTTCGACCCACAGCTTCCCCACATCCGGTCCCTGACCAGGACTGCCTTCCTCCACCTCTGCCACATTGCCCACCTCCGACCATATCTTACCCGAAATGCAGGCGAAACACTCATCTATGTTTGTCACCTCCCGACCGGACTTCTCAAATGCCCTCTCTGCCGATCTCCCAGCTTCACAGATGATCCAAAACTCCGCCGCCCGCATACTCACCCACACTAAACTCCGTACCCCCATCACACCAGTTCTAGCCAGGCTGCACTGGCTCTATCGCTGAAAGGAACGATTTTAAGAGCTCACTCATTTTCAAATCCCTTCATGCCCTTGCACCTCCCTACCTCTCTAACCTGCTTACCTCACAACCCACTACCCGCTGCCTCCACTCAACTGTTTCTGGCTTCTTGCATGTCCCTCATGCCCTCCTTTCCACAATTGCTCGCCGTGCTTTCAGCCACAATGCCTGAAACTCTGGAACACTCTTCCTCTATCCTGCCGCGTTGCCCCTTCCTTCCCCATCTTCACGTCGCACCATTTGACCGTGTCTACGGTCACCTCCCTCTCCCCCCGGATCGTCGACGTGCTCTTGTCACTGTCAAGCTGGGACGCTACCCTGCGTGAGTAGCGCTATATAAAAGCTAGTTTTGTTTAAAAATGACAAATCCCATTTCCCATCAGCCTCTGTAAGATGCCGTAATCGCTCATTTTGTTGAGCAGGAACGTTTGAAAGGGTTTCCTCAGCTTCTTGTTGCTCTGCATGGAGTTGTCCAGAAATAAAAGTTTATAAGATTCCCCTGGGAAACTAACACATAGGAATGTGAGAAATAAGGTGAAGGAGGAGTTTGGTGTCACCAACTGGGTTAGTGTTAATATGTTGCTTAGTTTGGGTACTGATATGAGATTGATTGTCAGTTGCTGCAGTAACATCTTGGCTCAGTTGGTAGCATTGTTGCCTTCCGCACTCTGTTGAAGAGTTTCACCCAAAGTATAAAATTAGCTTTCCCTTTCAGATGCTGATTAACCTGCTGTGGATTCTGGCATTTTCTGCTTTTATTTGAGACTAGGTGTATCCGTTGCAGCTTTGCTTGCAACCAAAGGATCCAATATGGAATGTAGATTGACACAGAGACAGACATTTCGTCTTCATCTATACTCAGCTGAGAGGACTCCTGTGGGAGGACTCTTTTAATATGTTTTCTCTCACAGTCTCTCTCTCCCAGTCTCTCTCACCCAGTCTCTCTCCTAGTCTTTGTCTCTCTCTCTCTCTCTCTCTCTCTCTGTCTCTGTCTCTCTCTCTCACAGTCTTTTTCTCTCTGTTTTTCTCTCTCTCCCACAAAACACACAGTCACTATAGTTTATAATATATTCTCTCACAGTATCGCTCTCTCTGTCTCCCTCTCTTAGTCTCTCTGTCTCTCTTTCACTATCTCAGTCTCACTATCTGTCAGTCCCACATGGGAGGATTCTAGCTCCCATGACAACCAGAAAAAAGTGCAATACATTTGTTGCAGAATATAGTATCTCTGAACTGTGTGTGCTTTCCTCTGTTGCTACATAGTTGCAGAATATGATTCTTACCTGATATTTTGTGGCTTAATTAAAGCATTTTTTTAATATAGCTCATTAACGATAGGAGATCCCCCCCAAAAAATTGTACCCATAACACTGCCAGATGAAAGACCTTTCCGATGAGGTATAAATCATGACTCTACATCAATCGGTTATTACATGATACACTGACATACACACAGACATTTCATCTTTATTTGTATAGATTTTCTGGTTTTCCCTTTATTGCTTTATAGCTTGTGCTTGATAGCATTTTGTTACAATGGCACACTTGTTTGTTTACAATGGTATTTCTCATTTGCTGGTCTGAAGATGTTAAGTCGGTTCATGATAACCTTATGCCTGGTCTATAACAGGGATCTCTTTAGATTGAGTGACCTAAAGGGCTCATTTAGTGATGGTCTGCCTTATTCTAAGAAGGAACTGAGCCAATCCCTGATATTAAAAAGGTTGAGAAACACTGGTTTAATAGCACTCTGTGGTGTAGATGTAGTTTTGGAGAATCATGATGATTTTGTGAGCTGAATGTGTTTAGTCCCAACAAAATCCTGAGTTTTGATTTCTCCTTGCTTGTAGTTCAGGCAGCAATTCCACTTACGCCTATGAAACCTCGTGTACTTCATCTCCTTTTCAACTAAAAAGTTATCCTCAGGCTCCTTTCACCACCGATTCTGTGCGGATCAAATGCAGAGAACTGCTATCTGCTGCCCTAAAAACAGATGGTAAGTCTCATTCATACAAGCTTAACAAGGATATGCAGGCACATTCATTGAAATTCATTTTCTAACAAAATACTTTTTTATTCTTCAAAATTAATTTCTGATTTTTGTACAGTGCTGAATACCAGGATTTTTGTGTTCACATCTGTGAACATTAATGATACCTCAACAGTTTAAAGCTATGTAATAGATTTTTGATGAAGACTTGCTTGTATTTTTTAATTGGGCTTTTGTTCTCTTTTGAAAATGACCTTCCTGAGATCTTTACCAGGGTCCTACCATATTTCTGAAAACAATTGGGTGTTCTTCAGATCAGTGCAATTTTTTCTCCACAAATTCTTTATTTCATCAGGAATTTGTTCTTGTCTATACAATTCCCACCTAGTCTTAACCCACTTTTTTAAAAAAATAAGTCTTTAAAACGTAAGATAATACAGAATTGTGTTTTTTTTATTCAGTCTTAATCTGGGAGTCAAGTCTTTTTAACAATTGCAGAAAAGAATTTACAAATCAATACTGAAATTGTGAATTTTCCACAATTTTAATGCTTCCATTTGAAGATAAAATAGTCTGACAAGCTTAGTCCTAGGTGGATTTTCAGGCTTCAGGGTGTCCATAGCCATAAATTGTAGTTGAGACTGGAACTAGTTGAGCAACTAAAGAAAAGACACTCACAAGTTGTATTTAATTGAAGCTGCATTCAGTTTTTACTTAGAAACTTTTGTTTTTCTTTGCTACATTTTTTTACTTTATTCTTAATTATCTTCCTAAATATTTTTATTTCACATGCTCTCAGGTTAAGGAGTCAAGCAGCCTGCTTCCAGGCCTCTGTCAGTACTCTTGATGTAGTCATTATATACAGGCATGAATGTTATTTGCTTGTATTTCACAAAATATCCCATTTTCCTCACCTTTGGCTTGAAGCATCTGGTCCACTCAGTGCCAACTCAGTGGTTTAGCTGAAGATTAGAACTGCCCTGTAAAATTCCAGCATTGCCGTCTGTCTCTTCCCACTCTCATGCACAGTGACTTTTGAAGAAATTGTCAACGTAAATCTGCATTCAAGTGATTTATTGCAGCATCAGAACAAAATATTTTTGTTGGGTTACTGTCTGATGGCTACCTGCCTGTATTTCTGGACCCCACCAATTTGTGAAGACATTTGTACAAAAAAATTAACTATTTTGTTCTTAAAACCACGTAGAATCATAGTAACATTCATAATCATCATTCTTATTCAGAGGAAGCTTGTTCAGCCCATTATCCCTTGATTTTCCTTCTTCCACCATACCATACGTATTTCTTTTTTCACATATTTGACTAATTCCCTTTTAAAAGCTATTATGCATTTGGTTTCAACCACTGTTTTTGGTAGGGTATTCGAGGTCCTAATTACCCTCTGCGTGTATGTAAAAGCATATATGTTTCTCTTAATCTCTCCCTTTGTTTTTTCTGGTAAACTTAAATTTAACCTATACTTACCCATTCACAGTTCAGTGAAAATTGTTTCCTTCTTATTTACTTCAGCACAGCCCCTCATAATTGTGAGCACCTCTATCAGGTCTGCTCTCGATCTCCTCTGGCCTAGTGAGCTATGCTTATTGAAATAAAATTTATTTATAGAGACTTCTTTGTCCTCTTACAATACAATCTAGGTATTTTTCACTTAGAAAATTGTTGGGATGTGGAATGTCCTGCCAAGTAAGGTGTCAGAGACCATTGGGATTTCAAAAGGGAAGTAGATAAGGCAGAGCAGTGGGATTGAATGATCACCGTGCTCTGAGAGAAGTTGCAGACTTGGATCAACTGAATGGTCTCCTTCTGTGTTGTAAATTTCTATGAATATAAGTTGTTTTTTTGTCAACATTGTCAAGATTCTCACACGNTTTTTTTCCCTCTTCTATCCAGGAGACTACAATGCCATTGGCTCAGACTGCGATGAGCTTGGAGCTCAGATTGAGGAAAATATCCTTCTCAAAAAATGAATATGATGTTATACTTTATTTTAGTCCAGTGACAATTTGAGGGTATTTCAGAGTGAAAATATTCCTTGGATTTGATACAGCACATTAATATATTGCTTAATATGTCTCAAAGTAAAGTTAATACGTCTCTGTAAAGTACAGTAATTGCTTTTCTAGGCGAAAATTGGGCAGTAAACATTGTGACATAGGAGATCACAAAACTGAGACAGCACTGAAAGAACCCGAGAACATAATGGGTGGGAATTGGGAAGGAGTAAGCTTTAGATGGTGAAGGTCATTCAGCCCATTTGGAGTCCTGTAGCTTAGTGGTTAGAGCACTTGCTTTACAAGCAAGAGATCTGGGTTCAATTCCAGGCAGGGTGAAATCTTGGGCAAATTTCTTTACTCCACACGCCTAATAATAATACCTCAAAAAAAAAAAAAAAAAAATTTCAATCCACAACTGTTTGTGGGACACTGCTGTGCGCAATTGGCTGCAGCGTTTCGCCCACGTATATCGTCAATTCACTTTACAGTATATTCTGTGAAACGCTTTGAGGCGTCTAGAAGACATGAAAAGCGCTACATCAAATGCAAGGATTATTATTATTATTTGATTCTTCCAACACTATGATCTTCCCCTTCCAGCTTCAAGCAGTTTCTTTGATCATTGTCACATCCTAGCCTTACCCTTCACAAGATTGGATTCCAATAATTGTGCAGCTGTCCTGAATTTTTCCATGTTTGCTGTTTCTTGTAAAGTATATAGTAGATCAGTTTAGGTTTAAAACTTTTTTTTAAAATATTACTCAGAATAGCATTTCCACAACAGCACGCACTGTCTGTGTGCATTAAAACACACGGTAATGTTAAGTTTAATAAGTTTCTTTAACTTTTTCTCTCGCTACGTGTATACCAAGAAATGAAAAACACAGATATGAAGTACAAAAACCGAGTGAGAAGTAGGATTGCAAACCTTAAGGACTCAAAGAATCCAAATCTGAGAAAGAATGTGCTGTGTGGCAACATTGCACCAGAGAGATTGGCAAAAATGAGTGCAGAGGTAAGCTCGCTCTCTCGCTCTTCGAATGCATCTTAGACCCAGGTGCACTTTCTCCTCAACAATATCTACAAATTGTGTGGTTGTATTTTATTTCAGGAAATGGCCAGTGATGAACTTAAAGAAATGCGAAAAGCCTTGACAAAAGCAGCCATCCGAGAACATCAAATGGCTAAAACGGGGGGTACATCAACTGACCTGTTTAAATGTGGCAAATGTAAGAAGCACAACTGCAGCTACACACAGGTAAAGGTTTCGGATGAGCACGTAGGAAATAGTAAAATGATAATTTCATAACGGGGGAGATGGAAAAAGGTTTCTCCCCCCCCTTTTTTAGAATATATGGAATATAACAGGATTATCAGTGCCTTTAAAACTTCATCTTGAATGTGTGTCATGTTAGCTCATGACATTCTGAAAAACTAACCAAGAAACAGAGGAGACAATATGTTGATTGTCGGTATATTTTGTCAGGTGATTGCATGTAGAATCTGATTCTACGGTTAACTTACCAAAGCTCAGCTGTCTGAGTGCATAAATGGGATTTTCTGAAAATAGATTGATAAATTTACCCACCAGCAGAGAATCCGACAAGTTCACTCACTAAAGTTGGCAAATCTAGCACTGGTTGGAATACAGCAATTATCCTGGGAATGAAAGCAAGCACATCACTCGATCATTTGATCTCAGAACATGACTATTTGGTATTTCTTGAACTTTCTAATCCTGGAGTATTGGAGGCCCAAGTGCCATCAGATCTCAACGTGCAGCATTTATCGAAAAGGGCACCTTTATTTGAATGTTATAGGTCTGATGTCATTGACTTGTCCTGAGCCTATTTTGCTGTGCATGTTCAAACTGCAACTAGTGCCACAGCTGATGATGAACTGCCTTAATCTTGGTAAGTGGGGTAAGACCTTGTTGTAGAAGGATCTTCAAATTCCATTGAATATGAACAATAAGAACAGCAACTTGCATTTATACAGTCTCTTCACACAGAGCATAACCTTCCAACAGAAGAGTCCAAACAATCTAAAAATCCATTTTGTGTTGGTGGTGATGGAGAGGAGAAGAGAGAACTTTCTATAGTGGTTAAGAATATTTTTCTATCATATCTATATATCCTGAGATTGAAGCCATCTATGCTGGTGGGATGACCATAGTCACAGTTCCTTTCCTGTCAGTCTGTTACAAATATTCGGCGGGTGGGGGGGGCGGGGGAGGCAGGGACAGAGGAGAATTATAATATCTAGGTTTATTTACTACTTGTATCCTAGTTTTGGATTTGGATTCAAAGTTAAGTCACCTACTTGTACGCACTTTATCTGTGCCTCTCAACATTTTAAACCTGTATTATCTTCCCTCTCAATCTTTACTTTCCACAAAAAGAGTTCAGTTTGATGAACTCTTCAAAATTAAGAGCCCTAGATTTAGGAATCATCATTTGTTCCTACATGAACCCTTTCTGATGCATTGCTGCTTTTCAAAGGTAGGATGCCAAATATTGCACACAATATTCTAAATGTGAGTGGCAGAGTCCAAAACGCATAACTTGACACTGTTTGTAGCACAGCTGGTTAAAGAAATGGGTTTGCAGTAGAATTCAAAGGTGTTATAGCCTTTACATTGTCTCCTCTAGACAATCAGTGATTTTGATCTGCTTGGATAAAAGAAGTTCCCTCTGCAGCTTACTAAAGATAAAAGGCTAACACACGGTTTATGCTACAAGAGTTTGTAATTCCAGTGTCTTCGCCCATATTTGTGTTTAAAGATTACATTTCCTCTGATTGTGAGTGTAGATATTTTGTCCCTAGAATCTTGTTTTCAAAACGTTGTATAGCTATTCAAGAGAGAATGTGTAATCATGCTGTTTGGTTTCTCGTTAACTCTTTTAGGTTCAGACCCGTAGTGCTGATGAACCAATGACCACGTTTGTTTTATGCAATGAATGTGGAAATCGATGGAAGGTGAGAAAAATTGTTTTGCACTTCTGGGTTCAGGAAAAACATCACCATGTTGTGCTTAAATTCAGTTCCTGTTTATCATAGTAGTGTAAGGAATTAATAGTTAATTAGAAAAAATGATTTATTTGGGAACTTAATTTCCGATATTCACAGCATTCTTGGGAAATACCTATACAGCTTCTGTTTGCGTATTGCTAAAAGTTTGCTACCTTTTGACATTCACATTGGGTAAATGCAATTTCCAAAAGACTCTTAAAGTATTAATATGTAAAGTGGAATGATACCATTTCAAATTTCAGTTAGTATATGCTAGTGTGCACCTTTTATGTGGGAAATACTACTTTGTTTACAATATAAATTCGTAAAGAAGTATGATTTGCTTATATAAGAAGGTGCGTATATAGTAGTTTAGAATTAAGTGTTTTTTTTTACCTTTTTGGAACCTTTAGAGAGCAATTTGAAGCAGAAATGTAGAATGACTATCCATTTTTGCTTTCACAGTTTTGTTAAGATGACCCCAAAGAACTCCACAAGAGAATTTGCTGGACCAGGAGAGTACTTGATGAACTCTTAATTTCTAACTAGTTGTGTAAATGACAAAGTCAAAACTTCAACAAGGATATTTGTAGAGCAATACATCCCTGTGGCAGATTGTTTCTTTTGTACAAATATAGTTTACTTAAAAACATTCTTCTGTGTGTTTTCTCCAAATTAGTTCATGGGAACAAAACACCTTCTGTTCACCGAGCAGCATCTGTATGTATTGAATGAATTTCTTTTTATATGTAGTTTGACATTAAAGTTTTAAAAACTTTCTCAGTGCCATCATAACTTACTTAGTTTTACGGATTGAGCCGGAGGGATTGTGGGATAGAGTTCCAGAGTGTGGGGGCACAGATGCTGAATGCCTAACCGCCAATGGTGGGGCAGGAAGTGTAGGGGACCTGAAGTAAGCTGCCGAGCGGAGGGAGCAGTCAAGCTGATAATAAGGAGTTATGAGGTCGGAGGTATAGGGAAGCAAGACCATGGAGGGACTTGAAGGTAAGAACGAGGGTTTTGTAGTCGATTCTCTGAGGAATGGGGAGCCAGTGAAGCCAGGTAAGAACAGACGTGATTGGTTCCCAGAGCCTGGTGTGGGAGAGGACACTAGCTGCATAGTTCTGAATAATCTGCAGCTTGTGGAGGGAAGAGTAGGGAAGTCCAGTGATCAGGCAGTTGGCGTAGTCAGGCCGGGACGTAATGAAAGCGTGGATCAAGGTCTCGGAAGCCTGCGGTGAGAGGCGGTGGTGAAGGCGGGCAATGTTGTGAGGTGTGGTAAGACAGAATGGGTCACGGCACGATTCTGGGGTTTGAAGGATAGCTGAGGGTCGAAAAGGACACAAAGGTTTTGGATTGGTGAGGTGAAGAGTGCAGTCATGAATAGTGATAAGTGTCAGCGACTGAGGTGAGGAGGCTCTGCCAGGATCCAAGGCCTCTGTCTTGCCAACATTGAGCTGGAAGTTGGCTCTCATCCATGACTTGATGTTAGACAATTAGCCAGGACATCAACGGTCCTGGAGTCGAGGGTGGAGGCGGTGAGATAGAGTTGGGTGTCATCCGCATATATGCAGAAATTGACCCCCATGCCTGTGGATGACATCGCCAATCGGGAGCATGTATAGATTGAAGAGGAGGGGACAGGACGGAGTCCTGAGGAATGCCACACGTGACTGTGCGGGAGCAAGAGGAGAAGTCGTTGGTGGCCACGAAGTGCAGGCGGTAGGAAAGGTAGGATTGGAACCAAGCAAAAACAACCGTTGAGGGAGTGAGAGGAGAGACAGTGGAGAATAGACTGGTCAACAGTAACGAAAGCGGTTGAGAAGAATGAGGAGACGGTCGCAGGTGGACAGAATGTCATTTGTAACTGCCCAGAGCTGTGAGCAGCACGGAAATCCAGGTTGGAGGGGTTCATCGAGGGAATGCTGGGAGAGGAAAGAGCGAAGCTGGGTAGAACATCCCACAGCCTACATTTCACATGAGTAAGAGATCCCAAAGCACTTCATAAAATAATTGGACCCAGTATCCCTGGAGTTGCTATATTCAAATTACAAGTAAAGACATTTTTTGGGGGGTGGGTGGGCGGAGGAGGGGGATAGACTTCTGGACAATGGCTCTGAATTTATATAATATAATCCTTACATTTGATATAATGTCTTATGTTAATATTTCAAGAGTGATTCATAAAATGTTACTGTAGTGTAATGGTTGTATTTATAAGTGACACAACGGGTAATGTATACACGGTCACTACACTACATCTGTGAAGTCCTATGACTCAGTGGTTAGAGCACTCGCCTTATAAGCAAGAGACCTGGGTTTGATTCTCGTCAGGATGAAATGTTGGGCAAGTTTCCTCACTCCACACGACTCTGTTTACCTTGCAGTATGTAGGAACCTGATTGGCGGATGTGAGTCGATTGGCGGATCGCATTTCTGGGGGTAACAATTTCTTTAAAAAAAATAATAAATGGTTCACTCAATCCACGACTGTTTATGGGATACTGCTGTGTGCAATTGGCTGCTGCGTTTCACCCAAAAAATGTAAAGTCAATTCAATTCACAGTATATTCTGTGAAGCGCTTTGAGACGTCGCAAAGACTTGATAAGGTACTATATCAAATGCAAGAATTATTATGTTTAAATCCTATGAAGTGCGTTGTGATGTCTCAACAACATAAGGCCCCATATGAAATACAAGGATTACTAGTAACGTGGGCAGAGTAATGTCCCACAAACTGCCATGAAGTAAACAGACCAATTTTATCTGGAGGATCAGGAAACCAGGAGAAATATTTCTCTTTTCAAATAGTGTCCTGGGATGCCCACTTGAGCAGACCCGTAGTTCTTAACGCTTAGGTTATTGGTAAAATGTGCAGTGTTCCTAACACAACGTTTGCCACAAGGTGCCAGCACGCACCTCAGATAAGCATTTGTGTCCTTTCTAGATCCCAGCACCTATCAATATTTAGCACTGAGTGAATCAAAAATGCAACCGGATCGCGTTTCNAAAAAAAAGTTTATTCAGAGAATATTTTGAATTAAGAAATGTGACTCATATGGTTTCCTTATACATAATCAGCATTATACGTTTACAGACAATCATTTTCTCCAGGTGTCAGTGAAAACACATGCTGAATGTATAAGATGCAAAGAAATAAGACATTTAGCATGAAAAGCATGGTCAACTTCAGTACTTCAATAGTTCATGACAGGCTTAGATTTAGTTGTTTCATGTTCATCTGTAAGAGTTGTAAACATGCTCTCACAAGGACATAAGCTGAAAAAAAAATTGGCAACTTTGCTTAGTTACTGCTTCTGAAAACCCTCTTAATCAGAAATGTGGATTTTTTAAAAAAAAGCCTTTAAGCACATTGACTAAGCAACAGTTTGCAATTACAAGAATTTTAATTGGTTATAACAAATGTCCATCTTTGCTAAGCATTCACAGTAACCTGTGTTGCATAGCATTTACGTCAAACCATATATTTCATGCCATGTATAGGATTTGCTTTGACCTTCACAACCTCTTTAGAGCAGGTCATAAAAGTTCACTAAACATTACTGAATACTGTGGAGTCCACTTACGGTCACTTTCTATCGCTTATTTAGTCTTTATTATATAAAGTCTTAATAGAGGTTTGTAACATTATGTATTTTTTTTACGTCATTGTCTGGGCTTCTTACTATTTTCACTCTGCACAAAACATCCACATGTATACACACAATAACCTTGTGAAATGACACTGCTAATTTTTGCTTCATTAGAGTGTAACAGTAATCCATTTTATTTTTTTGTCAAACTGATGGGTGCTAAGTATATATTGAGCTGCTTGATGTTGTGTCATGAGATTCAGAAATTGAGAAGTTTCAACAAGTAGTTCAGTGTTGAAGGGATTAAAGCCACTGATTGAAAAAAATGAGAAGAAATGTATACTTCAACCTGCACCCCACCTACCTCCTCTATCACTTTTCCCTCTTGACTCCACACAGTCTCCTGTGGCTGGAAGGCAAATGGGATCCCTCCCAGTGGTGACTTGAGTCAATGTTGCTCTGTGATGGATCAGCCAAATGGAGGTGCACTTCTAACAGAGCAAGGAAGGCAGTACTAAAATACAGTACTTCTCCAAAAAGGTAATACATGCAGCCAACTTGACAGAGGTGAACCTGAACTGAGGAGAGATTTCACTGTTCAACAGCTGAATGAGGGGAATACTAGAAATCACTTCTTTTGAGGCTTCTGATGACTTAAATGCAGAATTATCCTTGGAGGGATGAGGTTGGGGGAACCAAAAAGTAGCTAATGCCCAATTTGTTTTTCAAAAAAGGGCAATGTGTGTATTAATCTTGTTCTAGTCACATCACTTGAACAACAGTCGATTATAATTATTGTGCTTTATTTTTTTCTGAAAAGAATTGAAATGCCCACACTTTTGTAAAATAAAACCGGTGATAAATTGTTTAAAATTAAGTTTGAAAATCATTTACAAATTTTAACTTAAAAAAAGTTGCATTTACGTGAAACTGATATTAAAATAATAGAAGTTTTACAACAAAACATGTTTCAGAGGCAGCATTTTTCCAAACCGTTGGCTTAGATACTTGAAGTTGATCCATANTTTTTTCCCATCGGCACTATGTTTACATATATCAAATGTATATACTCCAAGACAAGTGGAAGTACCGCCCCAAAGAACGCTGATGGTGGTTGTGGATTCATTGTCATAGTATGGAATGGCAGGAGATCTTTAAACTGTATCTTAGCATGTGTAGTTCAGGTGTGGATGTCAATCGAGGAAAATCAAGGCACTTCCGCTATCAAACTCTTGTCTTTGAGTACATCTTATTACTATTTTATGTAAAAAATACAACTACAGGCTTTTAAAACGACTTAACATTTTGTCAGTCATCCTTTGGAGAATCTTGTTGCGTTGATCTGAAGCTGCGTTTCGGCCTGTGTTCAGAGCCCTCTGCAGATAGACATTAAAATCCGTAGTAAAATATGCCTGAGTGTTACTTTCTGGTGAAGAACTTATAGCTCTACTGTCCCTGTGAGTAGTAATAGCCCACAGACATTTCCAATTTTTATTTTTTCAGAAACAAAGCAGAGAAGTTCTAGGATTCTGACGATGTATCGATTAAGGATTGAAGCAGGATTTTGTAGATGGAAGAGCTCATGAATCTTGGATAAGAGTCTCTGTGCATTAACGTGTAAATCTGTAGCTGTGCGTCATCAAACGTGTGAGGGCTGGGTTCAAACATGTTTCTGTTGATGACTTCACGCACTCTGGAGTCGAGGCTGACCTGATTGCGGAAGAATATAAAATAATAAAAAAAAATGCTGTTTTGCACGTCGACATTTTTGAGAAGTAAAATAAGTTCAATTTCAGAATATACTTTTTTCCACAATTCATTTGGGGTTAAATCTCCAGTAAAATCAGCCTCATCCACTAGTCTACTTCCAATCTCGCCCACAAAATACACAGTCAATCTACTTCACGCTACATCCTGTGAAGCGGTTTGAGACGACTGAATGATGTGATAAGGGCTTATATCAAATGCAAGGATGATTGATTATTATAATAATAATCCTTCAATTTGATATAGCGCTTTTCACATCTTCTAGATGTCTCAAAACACTTCACCAAAATTATTGTAAAGTGAATTCACTGTGTATTTGTGGGCAAAAAGCGGCAGACAATTGTACACAGCAGTGTTCCACAAGCAGTCGTGGATTGAAGTGACCAAATTATTATTGTTTTTTTTGAAGGAATTATTATCCCCGGAAAAGTGATCCGCCAATCGACTAACTGCTAGGTAAACAGGTGCGTGGGGTAAAGAAACTTGTTCAATATATCGCCCTGCTGGGAATCAAACCCAGGTCTCTCACTTGCGAGGCGAGTGCTTTAACCGCTGAGCTACACCACTCCACATTATTATTATCCTCAAAAAATTCTGCTACATATGTTCTTGTGTGGCCTTTTGCATCTTAAGTCCATGTTTTACTGTTGACATGCCAGCATCTTAGTGGGTCAAATGGTTGCAAAGTTTTTTTTAAACGTTTTGTCTACTTTTGATATTTTGTTTTGAGCGTTTTTGTTCAACTGGTGACTTCTCATGACAATGGAAGAACTGGCTTCAATGTGCTGTTATCTCTAATAGCATGAAGAGATTGAATTAACACAGACAATTTAATAATATGGGCACTGAGACACCCTGCGTTTATGACTTATCTTTCCAGATCTTGATAGTAATTAAATTCTCAGTTAGCCTAAGTAAGTCCTCAAAGATACTTACAGCAATGTTTACCAGCGCATATTTTGAGCAAAATATATTTTAAACTGATCTTTTGAAAGACCATATCATAGCATGGAGAAAGGAATAATTAAGTATAGGAAGGATGGAACCAAATGTGGAGTACAGTATAAATAATAATAACCATTGCAATTGATATAGTGATGTTGGCAATGAAATATCTCAAAAGGATTTACTGTCAAGTGTGATGACTGGTTATTTGTAAGTGAACGCGAAGGTAATTTGCACACAGCAATGACCCCTGAACAGTCGAGAGGTAAATTATCAATTTTATCTGAAGGATCATTGGATGGTGGGAGAAACTCTTTTTTCGGATAGGCCATGGGATCTTTCACATCCACCTGAACAGGCAGACGGCACCTCCAACACTGCTCCCCAATGATGTATTAGCCTGGCCCTAGACTGTATGTAAGCTCAAAGCCATGGGGTTTGAACCTACAAAATATACGGTCAATTCACTTAACAGTATATTCTGTGAAGCGCTTTGAGACGTCTCAAAGATGTGATAAGGCATTATATCAAATGCAAGGGTGCGAGGATAATTATTATTATTACAAACTTCTGACTCAGAGGTGAGAGTGCTATCAACTGAGCCAGGCTGACACCCAAAAGTAGAAGATGAAGCAATATTACTTTCACAGGATCATATTGCATTTATAAGGCTCAATACAGAAATGAAAATAATTACACTGACTGCTGACTTCATGGTTGATGACACTGAAATGCTCAGCAAACTGGGGTTAAAGTTATTGGAGTTCAAGGAGGTTGTGGTGTTCAAAATTATAGATCAAAAAAAGCAAATAAAGGGTAATGACAATGTGAATAGGCAGCAACTTTTATACTCTAGTTATCATAGAATTATACAACACAGAAGGAGACCATTTGGCCCGTTGTGTATGTGCCAGCTTTTTGAAAAGAACTATCCAAATCAATCCCACTGCCCCACTCTCTCCCCATAGCCCTGCAATCTTGTCTTCCCTAAATAATTATCTGCTTCTCTCTTAAAAGTTGTTATCGAATTGGCTTCCACCACCCTTTCAGGCGATGCATTCCAGATCCGAATAACTCGCTCTGTGAAAAAAATTCTCCTTACCTCCCCTCTGTTTCTTTTAACAACTATTTTAAATCGGTGTCCTTGGGTTACTGACACACTCGCCAGTGGAAATAATTCACCCTATCGAATCCCCTCATAATCCTGAAAACTTCTATTAAGTCTCCTCTCAATCTTCTCTGCTCCAAGGAGAATAATCCTAGCTTTTCTAGCCTCTCCTGATAACTCCAGTCCCTCATTTCTGGTACCATCCTGGTAAATCTCCTTTGCACCCTCTCCAATGCCTTGAGTATTTCCTTTTTAGTATCTCCTCTCGGTTTATTCTTATCCAATTTCTCTACCCTCTCTTCTAACACTGTGGCGTTGGCTGCGTCCACTTTTATGAAGACAGATGCAAAGTACTCATTCAGTACGTCAGCCAACTTGGGGAATCAACTTATACATTTGGAGTTAATTGAGACATTCAATAGAAAGACAGATACATGATAAGTATCTAATAATAATATCTGCGTTTGATATAGCACCTTACCATGTCATTGAGATGTCTTAAAGTGCTTCACAGGATTTACTGTAAAGTAAAGAGAGCCTTCAGCTCTCTTCTCGACTCTCTTCCCCCTCCTCGCTCCCTCCCTTCCCTCCCCTCACCCTGACCATTTCCCCCCTGCTCGGGTCATGACCCAACTGTGCAGCGCCTTGGGACGTCCTCCTGACGTGAAAGGCGCTTTATAAATGGAATCTTGTTGTTGTTGTTGTTGTTGTACTGTAAAGTGATCTGACTGCATTTTGTGAGCAAAGTATATCAAGGGATATGTGAAAGAAAAGGCCACAAAGCCTCCAGAACCCAGGAAAACAGTATTTCTCTTTAGAATTTCCAATCCTTAAGCAAACTTTCATCCCTCCTGAGGTTAATCATACAATTTACATTTATATTGTGCCTTTCATGTCGGGAGGACATCTGAAAGTGTTTAATTATAAAAAGGAAGTGCATTTATTTTAGTATATTTGGGCTATTATACTGTTGACCTTGCCCATCATGCCTCTTCTGTGGATCAAATTCAATGGATATATTGGTGAACGTGTTATGTCTGTAAACCTTCTGCCTCAGAAACTGCCTCAGACCATTGATGAGGGAGAATGTGCACTTTTGGTTCCATGAAGGAAGTGAGATCAGCAGTGCTTCCTGCGCATAGCATACATGCACACAATATGCAAGAAGGGACATCAGGGCTGACCTGACCATCTGGATTCCACCTTTTTTTTGTGCTTCATTGTCGGACAGGATCTGAGGTATTGTACCCAGATGATCGTGTTATAACAGGTAATAAGTATGTTGTTAAATAATGCTAATAAACAATAAGAGCATCATGAACTCACCTCTTTAGGTGAAAGGATGGATATATAATCCTCATATATTAATCTTGCTTTCTCCTCAATAAGACTTTTGTTGACTTCTTTCTTTAGGTCTTCACATGATAACCAGAACAGCATATTCTCCTCGCTGTATTCTGTTCGTAAAAATTCTCGGAATGCATTTCTTCCTGCAGGGCTTTTCATTAACTTGTCAAACGATTGTGCCCAGGAGCGCACTTCTTCAACTGTTGGCTTTGGACTGTGAAAAATCAGGAAAGAAAGGGTACTGGTTACATCAGAATAACAATTTTTGTGGGATGGATGCTACAGGTGAAACTTCCTAAGTGACTGATGTGCTACAAATTGCAGTGAAATGCATGTAGAGTCCTGAGTCCTATTTTGAATTGTTGTATGTTGTGCGAAATACGGGTATCTTATGATAAATCAAACAGTCTTTTGTTTACTTAGTTATTAATTAATGCCCACCAAAACATAGTTACTTCACTTTATAATATACAATACAATTTAATGTTGAAACGCTTTGAGATATCCTCCTGACGTGAAAGGCACAATAATAAATGTAAGAATTATTATTAATATTAATAACTAGCGCTGTGTACTGAACTGAAAACTGTATCCTTTCAGTATCTTAATTGTGTATAATCCGAATGTGAGTAACACAATTTTATGCCTTTGAGTAATATTAATGTTTGCATTTTCAAACTATTCATGGCTGATGCCAGAAAGTGCATGTATTCTCCATCTTTAACCATTCGGCATCTATAACCTGCTCCAGCAACAACGGATCCCATTCCGGTCCTTACTGCTTATCCAATCAACCTGATGGCTATTGTACAGATATCATGGGATGGAGAGGATTAGATTGTTAGCATTCCAATTGAGTCTTGACCTACACTCATTTCATTACATTTCAAAATATCTAGGACTTAGAAAATACTTAAATTCAATCTTAATTTTGAAGCTGGTTCTGAAGAAGTAGAAAAGTGAAACCAGATCCCAGCAAAGAATCCAGCTGTCAGGAGTAAAGGAGCAGAGAATATTGGCCCCCAAAAATAAGAGTGCATATCTGAACAGTAGGATATGAACTTCCGATGTTTGAACTGGGGTGAAAGTTTTTCCTACACATAATTTACTAATATTTTCAGTTAAGATGTTGTATTATAAAAATATGTACTTCTGTTATTGGGATTTTTTATAATAATAATCCTTACATTTTGTACAGTGCTTTTTCATTTTGGGAGGACATCCCAAAGTACTTCACAGGATAAACTGTAAAGTACAGAGACTGAGTATTTTGTGGCTGAATAGGTCATTAAATCTATAGAGATTTTGCTAGGGCAAAACAAGTGTCTGAACAGGACTCGTCTATGTTTCACTTCCGGAGTAAGACAGTAGACATAATAACTTTTCACTCCAAGGAAAAGGGCTCAAGGGCTTGGTGACGAGTTATCAAGAGTGTCGAGTAAGGCATATGTGTAAATACATAAATAAATGTGGCTGGGATATTGACAGGATGATCATTCAACTGATAGTGACAAGTTAAGCCAGGATCGCGTTATCAGGAGTTTACTGTATAACATAAAGATTCTTAATGGCCTTCTTACATACTGTGTTCCTCAATATACTGCAATTTACAATATAATATACCACAAAAAAATGATCTTCTTCCATCCCCCTTCGTTCACTCCTGATGTTATTAAGGTGATGAGGGCTTGTTGGGTGATGTTAAAAAATGCTTCAACTTGATAGTGACAGTATAACAAATGAAACACACACTGAGAAAGATATTTCCCCTTTCATTTTTGGTCACCTCTGGATAGCAAGGGTGACAGTATAACAGGATAAACCACATGAGAAGGGATCCATCCAACCCAATCTATCCTGATGCTAAACAAAGAATGATGGAGACAGTATGTGGAATCACTGGCAGTGTAAGCTGAAGCAGTATATTGTAGTTAACTGGTACTTGAGTTTCAAGGCAGCTCAGCTTTCAAGGCAGAATGGTAAAATAATTCCCGGGGTTAAAATAATCAAAAGTAATCTACGCCTTCTTTCACTTCACATTTATTTTTATACTGTAATGCTTGCCTCACTCACTGATATCAGCAAACAGTTAAAGAGTAACAATACCTTTCTTCACAGTTTGGCTGGCTCTCTCCTCTCCCTTCATGTGATGTCCTTCTTGCTCGTTCATCATCTTCATTCCTAACAGTAAGACTGCAAGGTAGTAAATAAAATCATTTTATCTAGGTACAGGAGCAGATGGCAATGGTGTGTTACTCAAAAGGTGGATCTAGTGGATCTACGGTAATCCTGATTACTGTATTTACTAGGATAGGGAAGAATTTCCCAATGTCCCAGTACATATGCATCTCTTCCAGGCCACCTGTCTGTAACACTGTAAGCACCAGTGATGGTAGCTGGCCCTGGTGCTAGAGAAGAGAATAATTCAATTGTAACCACATAGCCTGATGACAAAAGTCACCTATTGTGTGCAACATTGCTTTTCAACAAGGCAAATAGTGGCCCAAATTTAGCTTTTAAATTTCTATTACGTGCAATTTACATATCACTCATCTCGGACCAGTTGGACGCTGGTCTAGCAAGTTCTAGGTTCAAATGTAGTGGCTTAACCCTTCACCTTCTGGAGGTTAGTACAAGAAGTAAAATGTTCCTGCTGAGGCTGGTGCTAATGAGAGGAATCAGATGTGTTGGAATCTAAACCATGCTGATTGTATACATTTCTACACACACACACACATATATATATAGCAGTTAGAAGCTTATATTATCCTGAAATGGTAATGCTCCACTTTTGATGGTTCCAGTTACATTTTTAAAAAATCAGCCTCATAATATTTAATCTTAATTTATTCAAAAAGTATATAAAATAATGTAACTGCATTGACAAGACTCAAGTAATGCACTCAAGTAATTCAATTAATTAACCCATTATTTTCATCTCTAGTGGGTTGCGGTTGCTGCTTTGATGTTACACTTCACAAATGTCTCAAATTTCAATAGGGATTACTTTCAAGTGAATGCTGAGGTTTCTAGCCACTGGGGTGGAAATCACTGGGGTCCTGTAGCTATTTGTGATACAGTAATCTACTTATTATGAGAAATTGTTATATATCTATCACAGTAAAACCAATCGATTCAAAATAATTTGTGTTCCTTTATAGGAAACATAACACATGTGAGCAAATGCAGTAATTTTCTTTTTCTCTACTTTTTTTTAAACGTATTCTTTTTAAAAAAGGTGTTTTATTCATTATAANTTTTTTTACTCCCTTTCTTTCCCCTCAATCCGTCCCATGCCATGCATCACTCCCCATGCTAGAACTTTGAATCATATAGCCTAGGCTGACGGCTGACACTATAGTGCAGTGCTGAGGGTTGGGGGTTCTATATTGGACAAAATATTCTTTGAATGAGCTGGTAAAACAAGTTCAGTCTGCCTGTTCAGGTGGACATCACATCCTCCCGACGTGAAAGGCACTCTAAAAATTAATTTTGTTGTTGTTGACATTAAAGATCCCATTGCATTATTCGAAAAGAGAAGGGAGTTTCTCTCAGTGGCCAACATTCCCCGAATAAAATTGGTCATTCACTTCACAGTTATTTCATAGAATCATAGAATATTACAGCACAGAAGGTGGTTATTTACTGCCTGTTTAGAGAATTCGAGTATATCATTACTTTCATCAGATATTCACCGTTGCTGAGTGCAGTCACTGTGGGGCTCATCCTTTTCATTTCAGGACTTGCCTCTGGAGGCAAACTCATAATGGAAACACATAAAAGTTTTAATTTTGTCTCACCTGCACCCCCTCCCAAGAACTCTAGTGAAGTTAGGAACTTATGTGGGGATGATTTGTGAGAAGCTTTACTCCTGCAGCAATGTTTGACAATCCAATTATCAGAGTGAATTCCATTCCTATGGTTTGTTAAGCACATTGTGAGTTGGGATAATAATATAATAATAATAATTCTTGCATTTGATACAGTGCTTTTCACGTCTTCTAGGCATCTCAAAGCGCTTCACAGAATATGCTGTAAAGTAAATTGACTGTATATTTGTGGGTGAAACGCGGCAGCCAATTGCACACAGCAGTGTCCCACAAACAGTCATGAATTGAAAATGACCAATTTATTATTGTTTTGTTTTTTGGAGGGATCATTTTAGGCGTGTGGAGTAAGGAAACTTGCCAAGGTTTCGCCCTGCCTTGTGAGGTTGACAGATAAGGGACTTAAGGTATACGTATTATGAATTAAATATCAGATTTGGTGTACTCTCTCCTTTATTTCTAAATTTACAATTATGTAAGTACTAAATATATATAATAAATCTTGTATTTGATACAACACCAAAAAAGGTTGAAACATCTGAATGTTTTTTCCACAGAAAATGTGCCTATAAAACGTCAATAAACTTTACAGTGTATCCTGTGATGAGCTTTGAGACATCCTCCCAACATGAAAGGCACTATAAGCACTATAATGTAAGGATCATTATTAATAACGAGTATTAATATTAATTATTAATTTGTTACATAATTAATTAATAATTATTATCAATTAATAATAATAATTATTATTAATAATAAATTGCTGCAAAGTGTAGTGACTGTATTTTGTAAGCAGATGTGAGAACCCATATTGCACACAGCAATGGTTGTTCCACAGTCATTCTAAGTACCAATATACTTAGAAGACTATTAACGGAAAAAAATCCCTCCTCTTTTCAAATACTGTAGTACAATGGGATCTTTGTACCTGAACATGCAGATTTAACATCTTATTTTTAGGAGAGCAATTCTGACAATGTGAGACTGCTACCAAATGAGAAAAGTGGACACCATGTTAAGTGGTATTAATTTCCAGGACAGGACACTGGAAAGGTATTTGGAAGTAGCTGTGGAACAGATCACTGAAGCATAGTGTGTGGTGGCGGTAAAGAAAGCAAACAAGATCATGGATATATTGTTAAAGGGGATGCAGCATAAATAATAATAATAATCCTTGCATTTGATATCGCACCTTATCAGGATGCCTCAAAGTGCTTCACAGGATATACTGTCAAGTTAGGAAATAATATCAGGATATAATAAATAGTTTGGGACATGCCATGTCATGCAACTGCCAGGATGGTGGAAGGCAAACTGAATGCACCTTGGTCTTCTTTCTCCTTGCAAATTCTTATGTTCTTATGTTCTAAAGTGGAGTGATTGTGTTGTTTTTGGGCAAAACATGGCAGCCAAATTCCATACTAACAGTATGGATCTCCTCCAATCTCCTACAAACAGCTACTGAGTGAGTGGCCAATTTTATTTGGGGGACTGTTGGCCAGAACACTGGAAGAGAGAAATTCCATTCTTTTTTCAAATAGTGATATGGGATCTTTAACATCCACCTGAACAGGCAGATGGGACCTTGGTTTAAAGTCTCATCTGGAGGACTGCACCTCTGACAATGCAACATACCCCCAGCACCGCATCACAGAAAGCAATACTAAACCTGTATAGTGTTGGAGTACAACAACTTGCATTTATAAAGCACTATTCTGTAGCATAATATCGTAGAGCGCTCTATTGGGATGGCATCAGACATTCTGTATACAGTTCTGGTCATATTGGTTATTACAGAATAAGGATAACTTGGCAATGGAGTGGTTTAGTGAAGGGAAACTAGATTGATAGCTTGAACACCAAGAAAGAGACTCCAGAAACTGAGAATGTTCACACCTCAGGAGAATCTAACGGGGAAGATCTTACAAAGTATTCAAGGTTCTAAAGAGCAAGGATAAAGAGAGCCCGAATAATATTTTAACACAGACAACTATATGTCAACAACTACAGAACAAGGGGCATAGACTCAAGCTGAAAGCAGGAAGGTGAACAAACAGTTCAGTTGCAATTATTTTACACAGAGAGTTGGTGAATAGACTGCTGAGAGATGTGTTGGAGGCAGATCAAGAGGGAATTAGCGAGCCACTTGGTAAGCAATTCAACTGATGATTAGGAGAAATCGAGCATGTCAGGATAGTGATTCTATTTTTCTCTTCTTATTTCAGGACTGGTCAGATGGACTCCCGGGTCTTTGGTGATCCTATACATTCCTATGTACCTATGGATATGCTCATGACATAAAATAGTCAAGAACTGTGCAGTATTAAAGTAATACTCTCATGGTAACTAAGAGTCTAGTCCTGAAATATCCAATACTGTTCTAGCTAAAATTACAATTTATTTAGAAGTTAATCAGACTTTTTGTAAAAAAACAAACTACAAATATTGACGATTCTCACTATATGATACCTCCCAAGGGATGGAGTCAGCAATGTAGCCAGTTTTTTTTTGAAAAAAGCAATTGTGGGGATGTAGATTTATTGCACATCTTCAGTTACAATTTGATAACTTTTATTGATGTTTTTCTTTGTTTTCATTTTCTCTCCTTAACATGCTCATTTTATTCCAGATCAAATGCCAGGAGTGTACCTGCAGCATTTGTAGCAGTTTTTTTCTTAAGAGCAATTGTTTGATTTAAATAATACAATTGAATTTTCTGTTTGTACAAAAAGTGCTCAACTTTCATTCTCATGGGTTACCGCTGTAGAATGGTCACTGTACAAAAAGAAATGGACGATAATTTATTTTTACATAATATGAAATAAGGCAAACTGAAGGTTAAAATCTGCAATATTGGTTACCCATAATGTCAACATAAAGTGAAAGTATTAATTGGTGAAGGACAGAATATAAAAGAATAGGGAGAAATAGATGACAAATGGGAAATGTTTTCTTAATTTTTTTTTTAAGGAGGATCAGTGTTATCCTTTGGATGAGGTCCCCATGGATTGGAAGATCGCAAATGTCACACCACTATTTAAAAAAGGTGGAAAGGAAAAGATGGGGAACTATAGGCCAGTTAGTCTCACATCAGTGAAAGGAAAAATTTTAGAATCGTTGATTAAGGATGTGGTAGTGCGGTATTTAGGGGAGCACAATATAATTAGGCCAAGTCAACATGGCTTTACAAAAGGGAAGTCATGTTTGACAAATCTCATAGAGTTTTTTTGAGGATATTTCCAGTAAACTAGATAAGGGTGAATCAGTTGGATGTGGTCTATTTGGACTTCCAGAAGGCCTCGATAAGGTGCTGCATAAAAGGTTAGTCCAAAAGATAAGGGCCCATGGAATTGGGGGGAGCATATT